CTCTCTTACATTGCTGGTGGGAATGTAAGTTGGTCTAGCCACTATGGAGTACAATTTGGAGATTCCTCAGAAATCTACAAATAGAACTACCATATGATCCAGCAATCCCACTCCTTGGTATCTACCCAAAGGACAGAAGAATTCTTCATTGGAAAAGTGTTTGCACATTGATGTTTGTTGCGGCACTATTCATGATTGCTAAGACATGGAACCAACCCAAATGCCCCCATATGGATGAATGGATAGAAAAACTGTGGTCCATATACTCTATGGAATACTATTCAGCCATAACAACCAACAAAACCCTGGCTTTTGATAGAAAGTGGAAGAATATGGAAAATTTACTGTTGAGTGAACCAAGCCAGGATATGAAGGAGAGACATTGTATGTCCCCACTTAATATATACTGAGTGTCTACACTCTATGACTGCAACTGATTGACTAAAGGATGTACAAACACAGGAGATGGGTGTGAATGCCAGATGTGTGTGTGTGGAGGAGTGGGACCTGGGAAGGACATTTGGAGGAGGGATATGGAGGCAGAGCAATGACAGGACAGGGAGGTGTGGTGTTATTTGTTTAAGATATTTTGATCAACTGGACTGGAAAGAAATGTTCACATATTGAAATGTTCACTTTGTAAGCTAAATAATGTGATTGAATGTATAAAAATAAATTAAAATAAAGAAAATGGGTAGGGAGACTCATTCAGTTCATAAAGGCATGTAGGGAATGTTGCTGTATATACTTCAGTTCTGTTGATTAGTTTAAGTGGTGATTATAGTAATGGTCATTTTGGTCTTCTGAGACATATAAGAATATTTTTGATCCACAAAGAAAAAATGCCTACTGCACTAATACTTAGATGGTTGATTCTTAGATCACTATGGAAATAGATTGGATGTAGCCTGAGCCATTGAATAAAATAACAGATCTGAAGAATGGATTTGAGATTGATTCTGTCCCACTACCATAATCATTGAGAAGGACTTTCTTCTTTTCATTCGTTCTTTTTTTTAATGGTGTCTATATATACTTTGTGAACAATCAGGCTATAGCTGGCAGAATGGCTGGGAAAGGTAAAAAAATTCTCCCTAAGAATGCAGACAAAGAACTTCTTAAAGCATATGAGAGCCCTCACTCTAATCTGAGGGTAGTGTTGTGTATGCTTCCAGGCTAAAGAAAATGAAAAAGGGCCATGCTTTCTGTTGTTTTTAGCCCTGTGTCACTTTTGCATCTATCATTAATCATTATTTTTGTTTCTTTGCATGCCTAGTGATTTTAAGTTGGATGAAAGATCCTGTGAATGTTGTAGGATATTTTTGTACTTTTATAAGTATTGAGTTTTGTCCTCGGATGTAGTTATTTGGAAATACTGTAATCCTTTTGAGGCTTGCTTTTAAGTGTCATTAGGTGAAATCACAGCAGACTTTAGTCACCCATTTAATGAGAGAATACTCATTTACATGCTATCCCTCAGGTCTCATGTATTTTGATGTTTTTTCCACTTTGGCTGGTGGAAACACCTGTGTGATGTCTGGGTCTTGTCCTGCTAATTTTTCTAGTAGTTCATTTGCTGCATCATACATATGCTGATCTATAGTCAGCTGAAGACTCAGGTAAAATTAGTCCCTTTTTTATCCATGTTGGCCAAAAGCAAACATTTTGGAAGTACTTTTTAAAGTTTATTTCTTTATTTTTAGAAAGAGCACTCCTAACAGGGTCTTAATGTTGCAATCTACCTCAGATTTGGCTATTCTGAATCATGGGCACACAATGCCCTGTGTACACACCGTGGTCTTTGGATGTGATTGGGGAACCTTTTCATCTGAGTCTGCCTCTCAGAGCATGATATTTTACCACTGAGCCACTGGCCAGCCCTGAAAGTATTTTTAAAAAGTATAAAATGCTTCTACTTTGAAAGACAATTGCAATGTTTCTTTACCACAGCAATTATTTTATGACCTGTGGTTCAAAATACAGATAAAAACTCATACCACTATTTTTTTCAAGTTCTGATGTGGTAAAACTTAATAGAAACTTTCCAGATGGTGGGAGTTCGTGTTTCATACTCACAGTAAGTATACTTGGGCTTCCTTTTTGCAGAGCGTGTAACTTTACCAGGAATGTACATTTCCTTTTCTTCAAGATTGTCTTCCACAACCTGTCTGTTACTGAATCATAGTATTTTTTTCATTACTTTATGTTTTTTCTGTTAGTACAAAGGAGCTCCTTGCATGATAATCAATGTATTGTTAGTGAAATGCTGCTTTATTCATATTTGGAATTCTTCATTAGTAGAATACCCTCAGATTCTGAATGTCATATGCCTTGTATAGTAGGGACTCATTTCCATTTGTTCTATTTTTTTTCCTCATTCTTGGGAAAATATACTTAGTTTTTCTTTCTTTTCCTTTTTGTCTCATACATGAACTACCTTAAAAGATAAGGCATAAAATTACAAATAATAGAGATTTTCTGAGTTTCAACAACTCATTCATTTAAGATTTGGATACATGATTTCAATTGAAAATTTAATTTCTTTTCAGGTGAATCCAAGTTTGACTTGCTCTGTAAAGAAGAATTTATTGAACTCAAAGACATATTCTCTGTGAAATTGAAACGGCGTTTTTCCGTTAAACAGCAAAGAAGTAACACTTTATTAGGAATCACACTTTTCATCTGCTTGAAAAAGGATCAGAATAAACTAAAAGATTCTACACTTGACCTTATTAACTTAAGTGAAGACCACTGTGATGTATGGTATAGACAGTTCAAGAAAATTTTGGCAGGTAAGTATTCCATATAGAGATTTTTTAATTAGGTTAGTTTTCTTAATGTATGTTATTAATCTAAACATGTTATATTTATAAGTACAAATAACCCTTGATTATGTTGAGGTAGTTTCTTTCTTTTCCTAGCTTATTGAATGTTGTAATCATGAAAGGGTATGAAATTTTCTCAAATGCTTTTTCTACATCAATTGAGATGATCATATTTGTTTTCCCTTTATTCTGTTAATGTGATATATTTCATGGATTTTTTTTTTACATGTATAACCATCCTTGTATTCCAGGAATAAATTCCACTTGGTCATGACTTGTAATCTTTTTAATATGTCATTAAAATTGGTTTGTTAGTATTTTGTTGCAGATTTTTAATCAATATTCATAAAACATATTACTCTGGGATTTTTTGGAACATTTTTGTCTGGCTTTGACATCTGAATAATTCTGTCTTCATAAAATTGAATTAGAAAGCAACTCTTAAATAACTACTTGCATAAAGAAGTTTTTGATAATATGAAATAACAGTACTCAAAATAACTTAGCTCAATTGAGATCTGTTTTTAGAAGCATTTTCTTTTTTCTTTCCTTGTCTCTCTTGAGCTAATTTTAAAGTTTATTTTCCCTCCATCTACACATTTATGGGAAGTGCATATATGTACTGGATGACGTGAAAACAATTTTTGAAGGGAACCAGCAGTTAGCGTAATGGCTATGTCGCTGGACTCCCACGTAGTCAACCGCGGTTTGTATCCCGGACCCGGTGGCTTAAAACTCATGCCAGGCGCGTGTGCGTGCGTGCCCAAGATCCCAAGAGGAGAATGGAGGAGAAGGGATTGCGGCGTGACCATCCCCCCTGGGGGGTGATTTCTCGCTTTCTGTCTCTATGTCTCTCTCTGTCTGTCTGGCAAGCGCACGCGCCCTACAGTGAAAAATCTCTCCAAAAAAAAAAAAAAACAACAATGTTTGAAAATCTTTAAAGGGCCACATTTTACACTCTGCTTTCTCAGTTGTCTATTTTAGGGTAGATATTTGTAAAAGTTAGTTTTTATTAACTTTATCCAGAGAAAAGAAAACATGTCTATTAGAAGACATCTTCTTGAACTGGCTAGTGGTAAAGGCACCTGAATTCTACATGGCCAACTGTGCATTCAAGTACTGGACCCCACAATTCAAAAAACACTCTGAGCACTTGTGCATGCATGCCCAATATCCTGACAGGATGGAGAAATGGAGAAGATATTGTGGTGTCACCACATCCCATTGGGGGAGTTCTCGTTCTCTCCCTCTGTTTCTCTCTCTTTCTCTCCTCTTCAATCTGTCTGTCTGTCTTTGACCAAAAATGGCCCTCTGCCAAAATTTTTTTTTTAAAATATATCTTCTGGTGCAGTGCCTCCAACTGAACCAGGCCACACAGCAAGAGGTGAGCGATAGTTGAGTGAGTGAAGCTCCATCTGTATTTACAGCTGCTCCCCATCACTCACATTACTGCGAGTTCTGCCTTCGGTCGGGTCAGTGGCACATTAGATTCTCATAGGAGTAAACTCTGTTATGAACTGCACATGTGAGAGATCTAGGTTGAGTGCTGCTTACATGAATCTAAAGCCTGATGATCTGATGTGTAGCCGAGACAGTGATGCTAGTTCTGGGGAGTAGCTACAAATGCTGAGTAACATTAGCAGAGTGGTTTGACTGGACAGAAACCTTAATAAAGCAATTGCTTGCAGACTCATATCAAAACCCTACCAGAAAGTGGCAAGTTATGATTAAGCTGCATCTGGTGGCAGGTTTTATTGTGCAAGTGAGTCGATGTACTTCAATAGTACAGCTGCATCTGGTGACAGGCTCGCAGTCAAAATCTGACACTTATTTTAGTCTATACATGACCAACACATTACTTTATTCACCACTTCCATCCAGTGCCTCTTTCCTGCACTGTACACTTGTCTCAGGCACGGTTTTGGTAAGCCCCTAGCCAAAATGATTTTTTAAAAAATCACTGGAGAATTTCTTTGTAGAGTAAGAAAATCCAACAATTAGACAGCGGAAGAATATAAGACTTCCTCCCCCACAAAAAAGAAAGCTGCATTCAAATGAAAATATCAAGAGTCCTACTTACATATTTATTGCAACAGGTGACTCGCATTCTCCAAGCCCAGTATGTACATTATGTAGTGACCAGCTATCCAATAAAGCCATGAAGTCTTTAAAACTGCTTTGTCACATGGAGACCAACCATCTTACATTAAAAGACAAGCTTTGGAGTTTTTAAAAATGAGAAAAATGTGAACTTGAAGAACAAAAGCAATTATCGAAGACCACCACTTTGTGAAATATGTCTGCACTGAGCATTCCTTTTAGTGGCTAAACTCATTGCTAAAGCTAAGATGCCTTTGAGGCATCTAGGAGTTGGTCCTACCTGCTGCTAAGGAAATTCATTGTGAACTTCTAGAAGAGGCAATAGTCCAAAAGGTGGCATATGTTTGTCTTCCATCTAGTCCATCATTAGATAAATTGATGAAATATGAGAGGATATTGAGGTACAGTTGTTAGAGAGTATTAACGAATTATTATGGTATGTAATCCAGGTTGATCAATCTACTGATTGACAAGAAGACAACAATGCTTGTTTTTGTGTGATATATTTTTCATGAAGCTTTATTATATGTACTTTTGTGGCTAACTAACACCACAGCTGCAGAACTGTCCAAGTCTTTGAATGACTACATATCAGGGAAATGGAATTGGTCATTTTGTGTTGGTATATGCACAGCTGAAGTGGCTTCAATGACTGAATGGTTTTCTGGTTTGACGACTTGGGTCAAAGAGGTTGCTTCTGAATGTGCATCTACATACTGTGTCACCCACAGAGAAATGCAGCCGAAAACTGTCACCTGAACTTAGCAATGTTTTGCAAAATGTGAGGAAAATGATCAACTACATTAAAGCACATGCCCTTACCTCACATCTGTGCAACTCTATGAGAAGATGGACCCAGAGCACACGTCTCCTCTTATACACAAAAGTGAGATGGCTCTCTAAAGGTAGATCACTGGCCAGAGGTTTGAATTATGAGACCCACTCCAGAGATTTCCTTTAGAAAAACAGTCACCACAGATAGTACATTTTAGTGACACAGAACTGGAATGGATCATGAAACTTGCTTATTTAGGTGACACATTCAACCTGCTCAATGAACTCAGTCTGTCACTTCAGGAGAAAACAACACTATTCAAGTCAGTAGATAAAATAGCTGCATTCAAAAGGAAATTGGAATTATGGGGATGACAATTAAACACTGGGATTTTTGACATGTTTCAAACATTAGGAGAGATTTTCAAAGAGACCGAGCCAGGGCCTTTTGCCTCCCAGCTGGTACATGATCACCTATTTCAGCTTTCAAAAGAATTTGAGAATTACTTCCCAATCACAAAAGACCCCCAAAATGGGAAGGAATGGATCCATGAACCATTTGTGAATAAGCCAGGTGAACAACTTTGTCCATGGTAGAAGAGGATCAGCTGCTTGAGATTGCAAATAATGGTGGCATTAAAAATATATTTGAGACAACGTCAAATCTCCATGTGTTCTGAAAATAAAGTCAAGGTGGAATATCCTGAGATTGCCACAGAAGTAATGAAAAACCTGCTTCCATTTCCATCATCCTATTTTTATGAAGCAGGTTTTTTGTAGTAACAACAACCAGAATGAGATCTCAGAGTAGACTGGACATAAGAAACACGCTTCGGGTGTCACTGTCTCCCATCACCCCCAGATGGGACCATTTAGTTGGAAAACAAGCTCAGGGCTCCCACTGATTCTGCATTATGGTGAGTTGTGTAATTATTTCACCATATATTACAATGTAATAATAATAGAAATAAAGTGCACAATAAATGTAATGTGTTTAAATAATCCCCTCACCGACTCCCACCCCTGCCCATGGAAAAATTGTATGCCACAAAGCCAGTCTCTGGTGCCAAAAAAGTTGGAGACTGCTATCCTTGTGAATGCAGTGTATCAGAAATTTCTAAATGGCATTTTTATATTTTGCATACCAAGCAAAATGCACAAATACAAATACAGTGCAATTTATATTTCTAGAAATTATCTAGTTAAACTAGAATCTGAGTTTTAGGGTGGATTTTTTTTTCTCCTAGATTTGTAAATATTTCTCTTTTTAGCCCAGTTCTTTCTATCTGTTAGACTGATAAGGGTCGAGACAGCTGGTGTAGTTGATGGCATAGTTTAAAATTAGATGGCACAAGACAGAGATGGGTGCCAAAGAGCAGGCATGTCGTGATGTTATACACTTCCAGGTCCAGCATCATTGATTAAGAGGATTATGAAGACTCAAGTTGGTTAAGAGCAGCCAGTTGATAAGGTTATGCTCATAGAGGATGACCTGAAATGATATTGCATTAAAATTGGGAGACTCTGTTACTAAGTAGCCCCGTGCTTCTTTGTTTGCTGCTTTGGGAACTACAGGGAGACCCAATTATTTCAAGAGGGCAGGAACCCATAGAGGAAAGTAGTTTAGTTCATCCCTCCGGAAAGAAAATGTGTGTAATTAACTAAAAGCATTCTATTTTAACAGTGGGTCTTTCATGGTGGCGTTATTTCAAGTTCATGTCAAAAGAGATTTCACAAAATTAAAAACAAAATGAAAAGCTAATAATTTCAATTGAATTAACTGTATTAATGTGATAAGGTCTTCACAAGGCTGGCATAGTCTATAAAATAAAAATGTGATTTGACTAGAATGAAAGTTCTTTCTTATGCTGAAGGTCTGAGAAAATCTCCTGAGGGACTTATGAAAAACTGACGGAGACAACTTCCTCAATATAACTTACTCATAAAAAACGAATAGCAGGATGACATCACAACAAAGCTCAATTTAGTAAAAGTAATTTTATAGGAGTAGACAGATTTTCAAAAACACACTGTCCAATACTTTATATTTTAAAAAACAGTGTCTTGCTTTCACAGCCTTCCTGGCTTAGCCT